TAAATTTAATTGATTTGATAAAGTGTATGATGCATGAGGTCCTCAAGATATTAGTTATCTTGATACATAGGTTGGTTAGCCTTTCTTCCATGTTGGTTATGAGTTTCTCATCACCATTGTGAATATACTGGCTGCGTTTAGTGTCCCTAGTTGTGAATGCTCCAGAAAAATCTGATTACCCCTCTAACCAACTTTTATATGGCTCTTTGATGGATGAGAAAATATGAAATATCTAAATTAATCAAATAATCACAAGATTGGTCATAATAATTAGATAGTTTAGATATTAGATGGCCTGGTGATTTTCCTTTTCAGTTTAATTATATAAGTTCAATGATATTATGACACATATACACAGATTATCTGTGATTTGTTTTTAAAACTGTATAGTGATCCTCTCCTTGCTTTCAAAGTGATGTAGCCAAGAGTTATCTAGAAACATACTTTTACTTCTTTTAAATTAGTTTTGTAGCAAAATAAAAGAAATAAATTATACCAAAAATCAAGGAAATCTAAGTATTTTTCATTCTTAAGTGTAATCTGCAGAAGTTCATGTTTGTGCCCTTCCTGTTGTGTAGTATAAGGTGCATTCTGACTTGTTTTCTATCTTTTCTTGTACAAGAATGTGGTTGTCTTTCCTTCAAGGGCTGTCGCGATAGAAAATGCTCTTCGACTGTTCTCCCCTCGTCTTGCAATTGTTGATGAACATCTTACCCGACACCTTCCAAGGGAGTGGTTAACATCGTTAGCAATTGAGGTGTGGTATTTTGATAGTTGTGGTGCTTCTATTTTAATTTGTTCTCTATTACTTTTGTGGTTAAGTGTAATATTAACCCAAAAGTCTGCCCTTGTAACCTTATCATACAAATTTATAAGTATTTATTAGACACCAAAAGTGACAACCTGGGAAAACAATGATGATTGCAGTTTAGTGGAATAACTAAAATTTTATTGGATCCAGAGTGGGAAGTTGTAGATGCGACTGATATGGTATTCCGAGAGTTTCAGAACATTATGAGCTTTGAGGCTAAAAACTATTGAGAGGATATAGAAACATGAAGTATAGAAGGACCCAAATCTATAATTTTAGTTTCCAATAAAAGTTTAAAGTAGTCTTGCGTTAATGGGAAATGAGTTCCACAGTTCCACTTATTATCTTTATGCACTTGGGGCATTCTTCATAACTACGTTTATTTCTGAATCTTAGTGTGCAGGAACTGATAATCCTTCAGAGGATGTACTTACAGTTATTGAAGCGCCTCGCCAGTCTGACTTAATGATAGAGCTAATAAGGAAGCTGAAGCCACAGGTGGTGGTTACGGGGATTGCTGATTATGAAGCTGTTACTAATTCAGCTTTTGTGCACCTTTTAGATGTCACAAGAGAAATTGGATCTCGTTTGTTCTTGGACATATCTGATCACTTTGAGCTATCCAGCCTTCCAGGTTCCAATGGAGTCCTCAAATATATTGGAGGAACTGTGCTGCCATCCCATGCAGCAATTATATGTGGCTTGGTGAAAAATAAGGTATTGTTCTTTCAGTTTGAATTCAGAACTCCCCAACTTAACCTGGCTATCTCAGGCTTTCTATTTATCTAATTGAATACAAAGCTGTAATGTTGAGATGTCATCTTATCAATTTATCCGTAGCTTTTTTACAATGCAAAATCTTCGCATGAAGAGTAGCCAAAATTTTTTTCCAGGTTTATTCGGATCTAGAAGTAGCTTTTGTAATTTCTGAAGAGGAGGCCATCTTCAAGGCCTTGTCGAAGACCGTTGAACTACTAGAAGGGAATACTGCACCAATTAGCCAATGTTATTATGGTTGCCTTTTTCATGAACTTTTAGCTTTTCAGCTTGCTGACAGACATCCTCCTGCACAGGTAATTCAGTCGCTTTTCCTTAAAAAGGTATATTTCACTTGAGATATTTGCAGCCAAGAAAGTAATAAATATACCATTTATTTATTTTCTATGTTTAAAGTCTTCCATTTGTTTTCATTTTTTGATAACTTTCTCTAAGGCATTGTAAGTTATTATTCTGATTGGATTCGAAAATGCAAAATGTTCTTCTGCCTTTTGTTTTATGTCTATCATCTGTTATCTGCTGAAGATAGTCTGTTTTCTGTTTATGATATTAGGAAGGGAATAAGGGAATGTTTATTGTTGTTGAGCACAGTAAATGTTTGTTTGTCCTATCTAAATTCTTTGGCCCGGTAAATCTCTCTCTGAAGTGTAAAAGTGACCTTTATATAATATTTAATTTCTGACAAAAAACCTGAATATTATGTGTACATAGTGTCATAATTTGGGAACATAGTAGTTAAGACAATTCTGTGGTGTACCTGATATTTAGGATGTTGAGATTTATCACTTTACTCTTTTTCCTCCTTTAGGATGTTGAGATCTGCCACTGATTTATTTGATGTCAATTATACTTTCTAATACGAAAAAAAATTGTGGTGTGGTTTACTACCTGTTCTTGCTGTGAGAAATTTATTGAAGTCTTCAGTAAAACCACATTTTCTCTTTTCATGAAGACAAGTTTGCTTATCCAGTTGATTTTCATATATGTTCTTCAGAGAGAATCTGCATTGCCTAAATCAGCAGAGATGATCGGGTTTGCTAGTTCAGCAGTCTCAGTTCTCAATGATGCAGAGCTGTCAATTAGCGAGGCAGAGAACTGTTCCCTCATTCACATGGATGTCGATCAAAGCTTCTTGCGTGTACCCTCACCTGTCAAGGCTGCTATTTTTGAAAGTTTTGCTAGACAGAATATAGCTGAGTCAGAAATAGATATCACCACTAGCATCAAGCAATTCATCAAGAGTACTTATGGTTACCCAGTTGACAGCAGCAGTGAATTTATATATGCTGACAGCTCACTTGCTCTGTTTAACAAGCTTGTTCTTTGCTGCATTAAAGAAGGGGGTACATTGTGTTTTCCTGCTGGTGCAAATGGGAACTATGTTTCTGCTGCCAAATTTTTGAAAGCAAATATTGTAACTATACCAACTAAGCCCGCAGATGGCTTTAAACTGACAGACAAAGTGCTTCCTGGGGCACTAGAGACTGTGAGTAAGCCATGGGTATACATTTCTGGACCAACAATTAACCCAACTGGTTTGATATACAGCAACAAAGAGATTGAAATTTTGCTCTCTGCGTGTGCTAAAGTTGGGGCTAGAGTTGTGATAGATACTTCCTTCTCAGGCTTGGAATATGACTTTGCGGGTTGGGGTGGCTGGAATCTGGTGGACAGTTTGTCAAAGCTAAATACTAGTAACCCATCTTTTTGTGTCTCTCTGCTTGGGGGATTATCTTTGAAGATGTTGAGTGGAGCGCTCAAATTCGGGTTCCTTGTATTAAACCAGTCTGTTTTGGTGGATACATTTTATAGCTTTCCAGGATTGAGCAAGCCTCATAACACTGTTAAATATGCTGTTAAGAAGCTGCTGAGTCTTAGAGAGCAGAAACCGGGAGATCTGTGGGATGCTATTGCAGAACATATAAAAACTTTGAAGAGTCGATCCAAGTGCCTGAAAGAGGTGAACTCCCTCCTCTCTCCTCTCTCTCTCTCTCTCTCTCTCTCTCTCTCTCTCTCTCACACACACACACACACACACACATATTTCTATGTGAGTCTATATGCATTATACAATAATGTTTTAGCTTGCACTTTCTTGTTTTAACTTGCCATGTCATCCTAATTTTGTTTGTAATAGACACTGGAGAAGTGCGGGTGGGATGTAGTTGAACCGTGTGGTGGTGTTTCCATGGTGGCCAAGCCCTCGTCCTACTTGAACAAGAGTGTTAAGGTTGATGACTCGAATATCCGGGAAGTCATTCACAAGGCTACTGGCTTATGCATCAACAGTGGAGCCTGGTCTGGAATTCCTGGCTACTGTCGGTTCACCATTGCACTCGAAGAAAGTGAATTCGAGCGCGCTTTGGATTGCATTGCTAAATTTAAGGATGTAACCAAGAACGGAAGTCTATAATGTCTCGCAGATTCTTATTCTGATTTTTGCTTTTAATTGCTGGAGGTTGGAGCTGTTGTGGGACAAGCGGATGCCGATGCCGATGCTGATCCCACTATAAGTTTTATTGCAACACTACGGAAGTCAGGCTTGTATAATGTGTATTTGCCCTTTTCCATACACAATGAATGCACCAAAGTTTGAGGGAGCTCAAATGTTTTTACAATTTCGTATTTTCTTGAATACACTTCTTCCAATTCCATTCCTAATTTCCCATGATCCCGATCCTATTCATATTTGAAACAATCTCAATCAATACCATACATTAATTTTGTATATTTTTTCTTATAGCACTTTGTGTGTTTTTGTTTTCTTAGTGGCACTTTGTGTATGACGACACCTTCATATCAACTTTGTCGACTTTATAGTTTGAGGCATTTATATATATATATATATATATATATAGAGAGAGAGAGAGAGAGAGAGAGAGAGAGAGAGAGAGAGAGTATTATTCATGAAATATCTCTCTCATTCCCTTTCAAAAAAATTAAAGAGCTAATCTCGCTTAGTAATTTATTCTATGAAAAAATTGAAGGTTAAGTAAGGTACAGCATGAAATACTTAAATTGCAGGCATTTTTAAGATGCTAGGGGTAAGAAATTCGGGGTGACTAAAAAGACGTGATTTACATGAAACAAGATGCATAAAATTATGACACGATTGTTTTGAATAAATCTCATCTCATTCGTAGTTAAGTCCTAGCATAAGAATACTTGGTATTAATTTAAGCAACTGTACCTTGAGTTGTTTCTTTTACCTTCTGGAACATTCGATAAACCTCGTCTTTTTTTGGTCCGTGATGTAATCTTCGATCCCAATCTCATTACTTTGCTAGATTGTTCTATATTTTTCCACAAAACACAAGAAATATCTAGAAAGATAAAACCATCATCATCTCCCTCCCTCCCTCCCTATGTCTGCATTCGCCCTATAAATAAACTCCCAACCCTCGCCCTTTCCACTTTCTCCCATCAGCGTTACAAAGTTCCAACCCACTCCTCAGTCTTGCAGATTTTCTGTAGTTTAATTAAGCACAACAAGCATCTCAGTTATTTGGCCAGTTAATAAATTTCCTGCTTCCTCACCGACCGATCACCATTCAGCATTCACCATGCATATGAAGAATAACGTGATGATGGTGGTGCAGTCAGTACTACTTGTGATGATGATGTTAGGCCTCATGGCCCCCTCCCAAACCAATGCCTTGATTCCGTACAACCCAATATCCCCCTCCTCCCTCTTGGACCACATGATGATCGATGACCCCTTCAGAACTCTCGAACAGACTCCCTTCACCGTCCCAAACCCTACTAAAGTCGCTCAAGAGGCGCTCGCTCTGGCACGTGCTGACTGGAAAGAGACGGCGACTGCACACGTGATCTCATTGGACGTCCCGGGGCTGAAGAGGGAGGACGTCAAGATAGAGGTGGAGGAGAACAGGGTGCTGAGGATCAGCGGAGAGAGGAAGGCCGACGACCGGGAAGGTGAACTGCAGGGCGACAACTACAAGTGGCACCGCGCTGAGAGGACAGACGGCAAGTTCTGGAGGCAGTTCAGACTGCCTGGGAACGCCGACTTGGATCAGATAAAGGCTCACCTGGAGGACGGGGTGCTGAAGATTACGGTGCCAAAGTTAGCGGCGGAGAAGAAGAGGCAGCCCAAGCTCATCAACATCGCCTCTTCTTCCTCGTCTGCTGATCATGGGGCGGATGTCGAACCTACAAAGGTCGCATGAAATTCAAGAAAGCAACTGAGTACATAATGTACGTTAAAGATAATTAAGTGCGCTCACTGCTATAATCAATAGGGCTATATGATGTGTCGTGTTGTAATGTTGACATGGGGATTGATTGAATCAAAATAAGTATTTGTAATATGCATGCATCATTGAACTTGATTTATTATATTACTTACGTTTTGGTATGATATGAATTAGTGTAATAAGTTGTAGGTATCTTCTGCGTGAGAATAATGCCTTCATTTTTGGCCTTTGCCACTACCAATGTAACTACAAAAGTAATATATTATATAGGAGGATTTCAAACAAATGCAGAGGTGCCACTTGAGTACAATGCTCTAGTGATAAGAAAATGATTTTGAGTGAATTTGCTCAAACAATTGCTAAACCCCTGAATGGCTACACATGCCACCTATGCTAATTTGTCACAAAACGTTAGATTGAGCTAGTAAGTTTTTGGAACAGCGTTGATGAGAAACTTGTTGAAGAGATTGCCCTATCTAACCCTCTGTTAGGTTGGTTTTATATGAGCATTTATGCTTCTTTTTCTAATATTTAGTCATGATTTTGTCTTAAACTGTTGGGTTTAAACATTATATGTTCTGTGCAAGTTTTATAAAAAATTATAATTTGTGAAACAGAACATGGAATTTGCGGTTTATATGGAGAAAACCTGATGATTTCCATGATGTGCTTGTGAGGGATCAATCCAAATGTTTGATGCGGTGATTAATGGGTTTTGGCGGTACAAAATAAGACAGGCTTGCGCACATATCAGACAGAAAAGAGGGAGAGAAAATATTGTACGAGTAACCAAGAACTAGTAAGGAGGAAGAACTGAATATTATAGATTTGCCGTGAAAGTGTGACAGCAAATTTTTCGATGGTGTGAATTGTCTAAGTATCCTTAGACGTTGAGGTGTTGTGTGATATGTTTTGGTTGTGGTCCAATTCCTATTTTCCTAAACTTTAGGAACTATTTGGGACTTGGGTTTTAATTTCTTTTGTTTTTGGTTGGCTGCAAACTGGACCCCATACACACATCCATACCCAATCTCGTTGACCCTCTCTCTCTCCTCCCTCTCGGTTTTTCTCCATTTTCCGTACAATACGTATGGACAAACCTCAAACCAAGCAATTTCTTCACGGATCGAGGTTTTTGAAGTCATCTTTGTGTTTCTTGTGAGCTCAGGAACACATCTATACTGTTTTTAGAACGTAAAGACCTCATTTTTCCGAGAACCCAATTTTGGGTTACTATTCATGCACTCGTGATTTCAAAGTTTTTAGGAGATTTTAAGCTGCTAAGCTTTAGGACATCTTCACGAAGTTCGGAGAAGAAAAACGAAGTGATTTGGATGTCGGGAAGTTGAGTTTGGCAAGTTTCAAGTTTGCCCGGAATATCGAGGTTCCTCCAGCGAAATCTCGTGGATTTCAAGGCTTGAAAGTGGTAAGGTTTTGTTCTTCTAGTCCTAAGCTTCATTTTGGTACAAATTTCGTGAGTTTTGGTGGAAAAATGAGCAAGATATTGAAGTTTTAAAATTTCCCAGTTTCCGACGATTGCACCGGACTCCGGCGAACCAAGGAAGAAAGAGGAGAATATTCCGTCAAAGTTGACAGAATATTCTGATGCCGTCAGGTAACTTTAACGGCATATTCTGATTTTTAACGGAATATTCCCTAACGCCATTAGGGAATCCGTTTGGTGTGCTAGGCATGTGCCTGTGCGTGAGCCGCGCGTCTGGCAGTGCCTTGGCCGACGTGTGAGGGCGCGTGGGAGCTCGGAAAAATTTTCTTAAAATATGGGGATGTTTCTAAGGTTGAGTAGGTCATGGTAGTATATTTAAATACCCCATTTGAGCAATGTATGAGAAGTTATTAGCTAGTTTTGTGTATGTGCTTTAAATAACGGTTATTCAGTTATTTCACATATAGGTGAGACCTATCCTGAGGACAAGCGCCATCAATCAAGACTCGAGGGCTACGACCCTTCGACATACCAGTGAGTGGGCTTTTGGTTTTCCGCATATACTTATATACTTTAGATTTTTCCCAAAAAATGAATTTGAATGATTATACGTTTTGAAATGCCATACAAAGTATCTGCCTATTTTAATTATGTATTAGTAGTTGCATATATTTATGATTGGTGCTGTGGACGCACAGGTAAGTTTATACATTAAAGGTATGAGGTTACTTCAGTTATGCAAATATGATGTGATGTGTGAGAGCTAATAAACCTGCACCCCGGTGTTAGTGCTCCCATCCAGAGTTAGGGCACATTCATTCCCTCCCGCACCATATGCTCACCTTGGATCCAAGTTAGGTGCACATGTTTGTCGTACAGACCATTATAGATGGTTCCGACTCGTAGGTGACCCGCGATCATTCGCACAGTCTTCACGTGATCGTAACACTAGAACATATTTATTTTACACCCAGTCTTGTCGTACAGACCACTTTAGGTGGTTTTGACTCGTGTGTATGATTTGATATGATTGAGATTGGTTATGTGCTATAGATTCAGCCATGCATGTTACATTAGGTGGATTGGGCTGATAAGATATCTGGCATTGATATATGTGAATTGGATTACTTATGGCATTTCATTTAGATACTTTGGTATGGTATACTTCTATGGATTTTCATCCTGAGCATGATTTATGTTATAGCATATATTATACTTTATGGTAAATTATACAGGTTTTACGGTGAGGGGTTAGAACTTTTGAGAAATGAAATGATTTTGAAAAGCTTTGTTTTTGCCCACTCACACTTTTTGTTTTGCGCCCCTCCAGGTTTTAGATAGAAGTGCTTTGGTGGATCACGAGGATTTTGTCGGTGGTTCTGGCAGAATATCAAATGTAGGATCATCCTTGGGTGTTGTTTAATCAGTACTTGTCTGCTTGACTGCATTTAGGCTTTTTATACTTTGGTTGTGTATTTCACACTTATTCTCGTACTAGCACGTTATCTTAGCTAGTACTGCTAGTAAATTGGTTTTTATTCATTCATATTTCTTTATATCTTTATTGTTTCCGTACTGTGCACATAACTACATCATATTCACGTGACGTCCAACATGCCTTGATTTAGGTCAGGGTGTGTCAATAGGGCTATTCATACACATTTTTACTTCACATCCTTGTTAATTTTTTGTCTTTATTTTCTTCAATTCATTCGATACGATGGGCAAAAAGGTGTGTGAATAACAATGTCATAACATATTGCAATTTGATTGTTAATTACAATTAACCCAAGTAAAGACAATTTTTTACATTTGGCCCAGGTTTGCAGTTGGCACAGGTTAGGGCATAAAAGTAAAAATACATCGCTCGCACCAGAAAATAAGAAGGAAAAAAAGCCTCCCATGTTTCAAGCCTCACTGCAAGAAAGAAAGAAAGAATTCTAATTCCAATACCAATTCGAATAAAGATCACATATGGACGAAGAAACCCTAAAACCCCTTACTTCTGAAGAAGGCAACAATGGCGACCAACCCATGGCAGACCTCCCTGACCAAGACCTTAGCTCCTCCGATTCCGATTCCGACTCTGACTCTGGCTCTGAAGACGGCGACGACCAAGCCCACCATAACCTCCAACTCCAAACCCTTGAAGCCGAACTGTCTGCCAATCCTGGCAACTACGATACTCATGTCCAAGTAAGTATTCACCTTTGCCAATATTCTCGCTCCTTTATTAATTTTTTCTAATGGGTTATGCATTGTTGTTCGAATACCGTCTGTCTGGTTGCTGACGAAAATCTAAATTTGAATTCTTATTGTGACTACAGTACATCAAGATTCTGAGGCAAATGGCTAAAATTGAAAAGCTGAGGCAAGCAAGGGAAGCTATGAATCAGCTGTTTCCGTTAACCCCTTCTATGTGGCAGGATTGGGCTAAGGACGAAGCTTCTCTTTCCACTGGGTACTCTCGTTTCGTTACCAACGCTCTTCTGTTTGCCTCAATTTTTTTTTCATATTTAAACACAACACAGACACAATGGACACATAAAGGAAAACGTAGTTCCTCATTTCGGTGGCCTAATTTTTTGTATATTATTTAAGAACAATCTGTTTTGTCCAATTTGCAGGTCTGATGCTTTTTGGGCTATTGAAAAGCTTTACGAGCGAGGAGTCTTTGAATATCTGGTTGGTTATGCTTCTTTATTCTAGAAAACGTGCAATTTAAAAATTGTTATTTCTTGATATGCCATGCCATATTTATGTTAATTATGGACGCTTATGGCAAAAATTGAAAATGAGAAGCAAAATAAACAAACTTAACTATGACTTTGAATTGGATGGCATCCAAACTTTCAGTTATAAAAGCAGAATGCCTTATCGACAATTTTTCTGTTTCATATGCACATAACTTGTCCTAACTTTTGTACAAGAGGGTTTTCATTCTCTAAATGGATGTGCTCCGTTCAAAGTGATCTAAGGTTTATACCCCTTCTCTATACTTGGATGAACTTATGTTGTTTATGTTCTGGTTGTGCAAGAACATAGTTAACTTTAAACTTGTAATGAAACATCACACTTTTGTTCTAGAAGTGTTCATTGGGTTACTTTAGTCTAGAGATTGTTCATTGAGTGGGCTAGCACCAGTATCTAGTCTCGTTAAGATTTGATGTAAGTTTAAAGCTTTGCCCAACATATCGATTCTTGATCACTGTTCATATTTTTCTGTTGTTAATGATCAAAGAATTGCAGGGAATATTGACTGTTAACTTGGTGACCTTCAATTGCAGTCCATCTCTCTTTGGTGTGACTACTTAGATTTTGTTAAAGAAAATGATCCCTCAGTAAGAGAATGTTCGCCTGCTGGTATTTCGAAGGCCAGAGATCTATTTGAACGTGCTCTTACTGCAGCTGGTTTGCATGTTTCTGAAGGCAATAAACTATGGGAAGCCTATCGGTCATTTGAGCAAGCTATATTTCATACTATCGACGAGAAAGACAATCAGGTTTGTAGTGGTATATTGATGGATCTCTTGGCCGTCTTTTCTTGTAGTACATCTTCATTTTCTATACAAGTTTATGTTTCCTGTTATAATAATAAAAGAGAATGAGACTGACGATCAAATGTTGAACTCCATCTGTGACTTTTCTCTCTTTGGCCAACATTTCAGTCTAATCTTTTTCTTTGTTATGCCAATTCTTATAGCTCAGTTCAGATTTACATG